AAATGTGTAAATACGAAGTTGAACTGTGAGGTGTTGCCGTGTACTGCCTGCATTTCACCTCAAAGTCTTTAAGGTGCATCGAGGTATATGCAGGTGTTTTTAGGTGCCTTTAAGTGCCAACAAGTAGGTGCATAAACTCGCCGAACACCCTTCCTCTCGCCCTAGCCCTCCGTCCGGCAGCTGGTTGGAGTGGCACCTAAGCAACACTTGACGCTCGCTCACTAGGCACAGATCCCAAGGATGCCAGAACCATGAGCCAACTAATGTGTCCGGGAAAGAGAAAGGATTTCAGCCAAGACTGACTTGCTGTAGGGCTGCACATTTACCAGTGATGGTACAAAGGGAAAGAGGATAACGTGTGGGGAGAAGGGGAGAGGGAAGCAGTCCAATTCTGATGAACATCTATTCAGTTTCCTTCCTCCTCTACTTAGGAGGCAGTGGAGCATCCCAGGGCTTTCAGAGTCTATGTCTGTCTAGGTCCAGAAGCGGGAGTACTTGTGTTCCCTGCCACAGAACTTCAAGTCTCTTCTTGAAATACTGTCCCGCTACTCATTTATAGGATTAAAACACTTGGGGCTTCCCCTCAGACCTTCCTAAACAATTTTTTTTTTTTTTCTTTTTTTTTTTCTTTTAATGCATAGCACTCTGTCTCAGAAGACAGTGGGTGGCTGATTTTTATAATTGCAGGGAAGATGCTTTGCTTTTTATGGCTGTCATCTCTGTGTTTTATTTAACCAAGTTGTATAAAAGAAAAAAGTCTGTATTTCAAATGACGTTTGCGGACTTACCTTTCTCAGTGTTGTTTGTACAAAAATAATTTCCTACCTCTATTGCCCCAGCTTCCCAAACACCTCTTTTAAGCAAATAAATTAGAATCGTGTCTCGTTCTCTTATAAATGAACTCCATAACCTCTTCTCCTCTTGTATGCTTTTTTTTTCCTTTTGCTTAACAAGTGTCAATCATTAAAGCGTGTGTAAACAATCTAACCATTATGATCCAATGATGCTGACCTGCCACATCCTGGTGAGGTTTTCAACCTGCTTTTTGTACACAGATTTAGCAGCAGAGCAGCCAGAGTACCTCTTTCAGAATATTTGGCAGTCTTTAGTGTTCAGACAGAAGCTGGTGAAAGGGCATGGGAAAGGCAGCATTCTTCAGAGCAAAAAATGACAGATGCTCCTTTCTTTTATTAATCAATGGATGGACAGTGCCTGTTTACAACCCTACCTAGAACTGCAAGTGTATTATTTCAAGCAGGGTGAAGAGAAGTAGCTTGCTTGAGCTGCATGACACCTCTTACAGCAATAGCTGCTCAAAGTGAGGGGAACAAACTAGGTTTTTTCCTAACTAAATTCTGTCTGTACTTAAATGCCCTTCTGTGGCATTTTCAGTTCCTGGGAGAGGTGGTTTCCTTTTTAACATCAAACAGTTTTGATAGGCCTAATATGTTCTGTAAGCAATATATTCCTGTGCAGAGCTGAGCCTGTGGACACGACTGATACAGTCACATTCCCTGGACTCACCATGCATGTATGGAACAGTTATTTATTATCATGTTATCTGACTGTAAACCTTCTGGAGAGGTTTTGCAGTTAACCTGTGCATGTATGGCAACTCCAGCATGTCTTGGACCTGTTGGACTTTGTGTACACCTACAGGTTACCTGTGTAGTAGTGATTTTCAGAAGATGGATAGTCTGTTTCTGTTGGTGTGAGTTGGATGACAGCCAGACTCAGTTGCAGACTCTCTCAGCATTCGTATTTTTGCTTTCAAGCCATTTCAGTGCATTTTTAGAATTTCTTCTTTCTATTTCTGCCTACTTATTTACTCCTACAACAGCCTCTTTTGGCTTATTGGTAGCTCATTTCAGAAGGAGAATCTTGCTGCGCTTCTGAAAGAGGGTACTGTGGTACTGATCTTTGCACCAAGTTTGTGCTCATGTTCTTCCTGGCTGGTGCCTTCAGGAAGATCTTCTTCGTGGGCTTGTGGGCTGGATCTCTTTCCTAGCTTTTACCTGAAATACTAAGAAGGAAACCACCCAACAAACACAGTCACAACTAAGCTAAATCCCCTTTGAAAGATTACTTACTCTGAACTAGAGTCTGCCTGCATAGCTTGATTATCTGTCTTTTCTAGACCTCCAAAGGTCTGACTGCTGTAGTCCAAACCTTTCCCTGTTTGAAACATGTGCGCCTCACTTCTCAAAGCTCCAAGTAATACAGCTGCAGAAGACAATATTTTGGAGAATGCTTCCTGCTTCTCTGCCATTGCAGTCATTACTTTGGGGATATGGCACTGTAGATGTGACATTTGTATTAGTATTCCTATAGGTAAAAACCAGTTTTGTGAAGTCCTTTTATTCCTCAGCATGAAGAATTTGTTAGAGTTGGAGATGATTTTAGCATCCTGATGCCCAGTATGCTCACTCTCCCCAACACCTAGGTTTTTTGGGGTACAGAGCCTTACTGATGCGAGAATTTTCCAGCTGCCTGCCTTCTGCTGCAGCACAGGTTATAGGATATCTTGATTGGCAAGTAGCCATAGCACCAGCACCATCTATAGCACCAGCATGAAAGCAGAGTCCTCAACTGTAGATGAGACAGAACCATGCTTGTTCTCCTCAGCCACGGTTGCTTGCTTGCTGTTCTGCATCTGCCCATCCACTTTGCGATGCCAGGGTTGGCCGGCTAAAGAGGGAAAGGATGGAAGTTGATGAGAGCTATTTGGACAAGTTGCACAGCCTGCCTCTTCTCTGCAGGGGTGAAGTTGCTTCACATACTTGGTTAACAAGCTTGGCTCACAAAAGGTGTTTTTCATGCATAATGAAGGAGAAGTATTCTTAAAGCAGTTGCCCTTGGAGTTCCCCCATGTTTTCTTCTTGAAGCTGAAAACACTGCTCAATGTGGATGTATTTAGGGGACTGTGTAAGTTCTAAGTGGGTCATCTTGGATACATCTGAAGAACGTCTTAAGAAATGGTTTGAGTGCAAGCAGTTACAGAAAAATTGTGACAGATTTGTGATTAAGAGAGGAGAGGAGCAACTGCTGCTTAGAGAGAAGGAATTTAAGAATATTAACGTGCATCAGTTTTCCGGTTTCTGGGGAAAATACAGAAAATAAACAGTCTAATCCATTGTCAATATTCAGAGAAGGACGAGCATTGGACAAACAAAAGAATAATCAGAAAACACCCAGGAAACACTTGAAACTGGGCTGCGTTTCAGAGCCAAAATGAATCTATGCCCAAGTGCAGGAGAAGTGGCCATTTGTGACTAAGCTAGGAACATCCTTAAGAGGAAAAGCGAGGATTTTAGCTGACTGAACAAAACATACAAAGCTTGAAAGCATGTTAAGTGTATTTTGTAAAACGAAGTATTTGGGCAGGAGTCCAAACAAAGCTACTCGAATGCTGGTGCTGTCCTGTGAGAAAGTTGGCTGTGAAGAGGCCTCTTACTTTGTTTAAGGCAAGCCGGGAGAGAGATTAAGGAGTTGTTAAGGATTTCTGCATCAGGTGAGAAAGTAAATGCTTAAAGATAGAAATATTATTGAAAATACTCTCTGTGTTTTGGAGTATTTTAAATAAATTTTGCTATTTGAAGGTGAAACAAAAAAATACACTAAAATATGCTAACTTGGATGAGAATCGTGTTTAAGCAAACAGAAGAACTAGGAAGTAGGAAAGAATTATCTGGCCTCGGACTAGGAATAACTAGAACTAGTAGAAGTAGAATAATAAGGTTTGAGAGTTTACTTGCCATCTGAACAGATGGTATAAAGCACATTCACTGAGATTAAACTGATCTGGACAGTAATATCTTGTATATCCAGTCATATCAAATATCTTGTAAATCTCGTGATATCCAGTATAATCTTGAAGTCCAGAAGGAGGCACCTCTGGTGGAAGCTCCTTGAATGAAAAATGTCTCAAAGAGTCAGACTTAAGAAAAACAAGGTGCCTTCTGATTCTGGGCAGCAGGAGTGTTGCTGTCCTTCCTGAAACAGGGCGCTGGGAGATGTGTTGCAATTTGGATTCATGAACAAACTCAGTTCTGTGAAGCTGAGGACTGTTACCTCAAAAATTTAGGTGCTTTCGTGGCTAATAGCAAATGGCATGTGAAGTCCCATTGAAATCCCTGCTTGCAGTCAGGGTGTCTGCAGATACAGCACACGCTAAATGTACTTTGGCTGGTTTAAACCTCAACCATTTCAGGACCCTGTCATGGAGAGAAAGACAACATCCCGGGCAGGGAGAGGGTGAACGCAGCTTAAGACGACTCCGTGCTTTTGACTGTTTCTGTTCAGCTGCTTATGCACCTTCTCTGCCTCCTGTCAGTTGGGATGTTCAGTCCTAAACCTGCTAGTGGAAAGTACCTAATCAAGAAAGAGTGATTAGAGCACTTAGATAAGACTTCTGGGAAGCTGAAGTTTCTCTGTCTTGGCATATAATACAATCTTTGTCTATGTCTGTCAGTGCTCAATACCTGCTGTGGGGTTTGGTTTAGCTTTCTTATTTGGAAATGCCTTTGCCATTGACAGACATGACGTGCAGCTTTCTGACATAGTCATACTATACTGTTTGTGCCAAGAATGCTCTAGGCTAAGAAGCCTAGGTAGAAATATCACAGCTTTATATTATAAAATAATGCTTGGAGTTTTGTGAATCTTCTGCCACTAGGTAGAGAATAGCTATGGCAAATGTAAAACAGAATGGTAGCTTTTTCCTATGGCTGTTTGCACACAAGCAACAATTAAAAATAAGTGAAATATAAATATTTGATATGGAGGAGATTCGTAACATTATTTATTTCAAGTAAAGACAAGATTAATTGCACACAGATTTGTTTGCTGTATTTAGTTTTCGTATTCTTAAGCTGGAAATAGACTTTAAATTTATTTTGGAAGGATGGGCTGTGTAGCTTCATTTCCTCCCACCTTACTGTGCCACTTCCTTCCTTCCATCCCTGCTCCTTTATTTACTTCCTTTATTCTTTATTTTTAAGGACTTGCTCCTGAGGCCAATAAATTAGTAAGCAGCTTGAAAACAATGCCAATGCTGCATGATGAAGCATATGCTCAGGAAACAAAACTGAACAGCTTCCATGAATTTCCAGATAACACACTGGTCCTCCCGTAAGTACGTTTTCTTCGGGGAGAAGCGGGGTTAGGAGTTATCTTGTTATTTTGTAGATAATTGCATCTCTGAACATTTAGTGTGAACAATCCTTTATGAGATTAGCAAGAATGCTTAAACTGGCTTAAAAGGAAAAAGCCTACAATGTCTGGCACAATAGCAAATGTCTGTTCTGATATATTTGCTATGAAGTGTCTTAACAACTGTTTGAGAAAAAATCTTCTAAATTAGGCAATAAGTAACCATTCTGGGCAGCTTGGTCCTGCATTTTTTTCTTGTTTTGGATATTAGTATACTACTGTGCAAACATACAAATGTTCTACAGAAACTAAGAAAATTCTTTATTCAGCTTTGTGTGAATTATCTTCAGCATATGTCTGGAAAAGTAACATCTAATTAATGCATCTATTAATAGGCATCATGCTTTAATTCTGCAGGCCTTCTGGTTTTAAAAAAACCCTAAAAGCTGATTGTATTTCTAAAATTTATGCAACATTATGATAAAAAGCAATGGGCTTATAATTTGCATTGCTTCTTAACTGTTGGGCAATGATTAATAAGCTTATAGGTTTTATTTAGAGGGCAGTATGCTAATTTGAGATATTCCCCAGCTGTGATGAATGACTGTACCCCTGTAAACATGTTAACTTTGCACAAAGGGTGATTTTACAGTCATTCAAAAATAAATGGGACAATAGCTGTTTTACTGTAATAGGAAAAGTAGATATTCTTTAATCTTTAAGTAGAAAATTGGAATATACAAAGGAAATATAAGGCCTGTTAGTTTCTTTCTGTGTTGTATTGAGGCATCCCGATAAAGCTTTTAAAAGTTACTGCTTAAAAGGCAGATGGCAGAAAAAGGGGTAAAGGGAAAAGAAATGGACTCCCAGTGGAGCAATGTTGATGTGAACATAGTTTGTGTTACATACGATGGTTATAATAACAAAAATTTAGCTCAGTTACTATACTGTGCTTGTAACTGATACTTTAAGGGGTTTGAACTATAATGAAACTACACTAATGCACTTGTTTGAGTCCTAAATGTACACATCTTTTCCATGAAGAGCAGATAAGCTTAATACAATCAATCATATAAAAAAATGAGGTTTGAAAAAGAATCTTGTTTTTCTGGCACTGCTGAGTGCTGTTTCTGGAGGTTAGTCCTGGCAATTTGCCATTTTCTCTTTTGTGCTAGTTGAGTGATTCTTTAACTAGGCAGTTGAGAAATATTGTCAGTTTCTGAGGGGAGAAAATAGTAGTATTTTGTGAACTTTGTATATGTGTGTGATAACCTTGATGTAAGAATAACGAAATGACCTCTTTTAGAGAGAGACATCAAAAGTTGTAGACTAGGCTGGTCTCTGATGTTGGTATGTCATGTTTTATTGAAACAGCATGTTCTCAGGGGAGCTTTCTTTTCACAGATTTTCAACTGATTTCCAAAGTTACTCTTAGTATGTGTAAATGTGATATCCAATGAGGCAGTTTTTTCGTATGAAGTCTAACTTCTTAGGTAGACGATGTCAGTTAGTTATGAATGAAAGTGCACATTGTTTAAATGCTCTCTTTGCTGTACACAGCTGTTTTACAGGTCTCATGAGGGGAGTGGGTCTGCAGATTTTATTAGCTGATGAATTGGTAATTAACTCTTGGTTTTGCATATTCTATATTGCTATAAATACATACAAAAACAGCAAATGGGAACAAAACACTATTGTGAATGCTGAGGGAAGCTAATCACCTTTTCTGTGCTCTAAGCACCTTATTTTGGGAACTTCTACGCATCCATGCAAGTATTCTGGTCTTTTCTATAGCCTTTGACTGTCTTCCAGTCTTGTTAAACATGTGGATGGCCCTGCCAAGGAAGGGCAGAGCTGTTCCACTCACTGTTAGCTCCTCATTGGCCACTGTGTTACTAAGAGGAACATGGTTCAACTAACGTAAGAATGGGTGAGAATGATGGATTTTCTATCCTCTTCCAAGCTTTAGAAAGGTAGCAGAAAATACTAGTAGCAGGGATCCTTTATTATTCCGAATCTTAATGGCCAAGTTGTATTTATGTGTAGTTGTCCTTAATCTAAGAGGTTAGCAAGTTCATGTGGGGACTGAGCATGTTTTGTGGAGTAAAACACGTGCTCTGTGTGCGGTTCACAGGGCTGGCAAAGCACAGGTCCTTGAGTCGGATTTCTTGAGACAGGCAGGTGGAGATAGGGACACCTGTGGTCCTTGGAGGCAGGGTGAGCAGACAGCACGCTTAGAGCTAGGACAAGCCCACTGTGTCAGGGCAAGTTTAGGTTGGATCTCAGGAAGCCCTTCCTCACAGACAGGGTGCTCAGGCATTGGGATGCACTGCCCGGGGAAGTGGGGGAGTCACTGTCCCTGGAGGTGTTTAAGGAGAGGCTGGATGTGTCGTGGTTTAGCCGATGTGATGGTGTTGGGTCATAGGCTGGACTTGATGATCTCAGAGCTCTTTTTCAGCCTCAACGGTTCTGTGATTCTGTGATTCCATGGCCATCATTGCCTTTGATACATCCCCTCCAAATCTGGGACGGTGTACTTTGTAAGCTGTTTTGGTGTCTAGATATTTCTTAATCTTTGGTTTTCATCCGCTGGGCTACAGAGTGTGTGACATTTGACAGTTTTATGTTCCTCAGTCACACACAGGTACTTTATCCTATTGCTTGATTGCTTGCTTTTTTTTTTTTTTTTCATCTTGCATAGTTGCTCTGTCTTACTTTTATTGTACTTAGATCAGTCTTGTCCCAGCTGCCAAGGTTGCACTTGTTCAGTGGCCAGTAATTGATCGTCAGTGAGTTGTTTATAGTCCTGAGGCCTCTGTTCACAGCTTATGCCAGTATTTTAAAATATTTGCTCTTATCACATGCCTAAACTCATAACAAGAGACACCTGGTACCATATAGCAAACTTTCATAACAAGGTGACAACAGGCCTGACAAGGCTGGGACTGTGATTTTACAGCATTAGCCTATTACTAGCAAAGGCAACAGTTCACTTGAAGATCTTAACTAACCATGGGAGGTTTTTCTGAAATCTGAGCTCAGAGAAACTGAGTGGGTCTTCTGAAGGCCACAAAAATTAATTGCAGTCATAAGACTCTTTAAGAGAAGATACTCTTTGTGTCAGGAAAGAGTATTTAGGTTGTATCTATTTATATTTATCAAAGGATCAGAAGGTTGTTGCAATTCTTCTGCTTACCCTCTATAAACCTTGGGAGCTTTACAGATTCCTCTCAGCAGCTTGGGAAACATTTTTAAATCTTAAGGCTTTGCATTGACTTTTGCTCAAACTCGGTTCCAAACTTAAAGTAAATTTTCTGTCTTTAGTTTTGCCAGTCCATCTCTGCCTCCCAAATTATGTTTATTATTAAATTAAATTTTTTGGGATTTGTGTTTTAAACCACATCAAGCCGTGAATTTCTAAACCTGGAAATTAATGTTCTAAATTTAAGACCACTTTTTTGCCGTAGACTTTGAGGATGGGGAGGAAAAGAGTGAAAACTGTTGATTTAGAGAAAAAGTTCAATATGATGAGCTGGTATTAACTCTAAGAATTTTTTTTTCCAATCCTCTTTCTTTGTAGTGTCTCTAAGCAAAACAAAAGAATCTTTTACACAATCCTGGAGCTCTCACCGCTGCTTGATTCTTCCAACATGACGCCAGATGACTGGGCGAAAATTGCAAGAAAACTTGAGGTACTATGGTGTGGGATAAGAATTTGTTTGTTACTTAAACCAGCTGTATATCTAGTATACTTAGTGAGATAAAACAATTCAATAGTGCTATAGGTATGTATTCGTTTACTTAAAAAGTAAATATTGTGTATCTTGCTTAATTACTTGCAAAGTAACAAGTACTGTGCTTGCAAGGATTCCCAAATGTTTTTTCCTTTGAAGATGTTGCAGTCATTGAAGTTATGTAGTTCTTCCAATGATAAGCTGTGTTGTAATTCTGTACAAGAAAATAAATAGCAAAATTGCAGCTATGATTGAATAAGGTGTGTAATTTGTAGCTTGATATGGTCTAAAACATTGATGTGCAGTCACTGTCAAAAAATATTGAAAAAAGTCCTTTAGGTGTAGGTGACTTAACTGAAGATTGCTTGGTTACACATCATTTGAGTGTTCAGATAGCTTAATAGTAGAAAATAATTCCATGTCTTTGTGCCTTTCTTACTCTAGACACTGATGGACTTGACTAGCTTTGGCTTTGCAGCCAGTAGAAAAAATGTTACTACGTTTAAGTTTCCCACACTGCAAAATTTTATAGCCCTAGATATTTCTGCATATATAGATAAATTCATTATATCCTTCCCTAGATTGAAAATCAGCATTTCTCTACTCCTGTCCCCATGTCTGGGCTTAGCCATCTGCTTTTAAGAAAGTAGAAGTGGGAACCATTTCAAACACTTCACACCAGGAATTCATACGTAGCTGTTAGAAATAAGTAAGATATTAAGATAAGTAAGATAGTAAGATATTGCTCTTCCACTCCTGCTCGCTCTGCGATAGTGGGCTTTATAGTGTGAATTTCCTTCTTTGACCCAGCTGTAGCACTGCACACAAACAGGATAATAATGCAGGGAATGATGCTGAAGATTCAGGTTTAGGTCCTCTAAACCTGAAACCACCATACTAGGGATCGTGCTCCTCCTGTTGAGTGCTTCTTGCCAGGGCAGGGAAGAGGTGGAGCTGAAATTTAGGAGTCTCTAATGGAGCAGGAGTGCAGCTGGGAACAGCCCAGGGCCAGGAGTAGAAGGTGGTAATCCCCATGCTGAGCAGGAGAGAGTTCACCTTTCTTCCTTAACAGCACATTAGTTTTATTACCAAAAGAAAGTGTTTCTTTCTTGTACACTGAACGCAGCGATTGCTATTTCTGTGATCTCAGTCCTTCTTGAAAATTACTTAGCATGTGGCTGCATTGGTGCATAACTACAGCATGCTTTTTGCATCACGCTATAGTTTGGCTCACTGAAAGGTCTTGCAACACTGGCAGTTGTTCTGCTGACTAATTTGTTAGAGATAAGCAGAAATCCCCTGAAACTTCCAGTAGGCAGCAACATGTAGGCACGAGTAGCAGTGAAGAAGTAGCAAAAGGACAAGTAGAAATCTGCAGGTGAGTTTGCAGGTGACCTTATCAGGAGATGCCAAGTGTGGGTGCCTACTGTGGCATAAGAAGTGTAATTAAAAATAAATCTCATTTAATTCTTTGGCAAAACCTCTTCTTTTCTTAACACTGGCACTTCGTATGTATCTGCCTAGACTTCCAAGTAATCCTTTCCCAAATTACATCAGGGACATCAGTTTCTCTCACTACAGTGTTTACTGTGTGCATCACTCTTAAAATAGAGCAACCAGTTCCTTTTTCCTCTGAAAGCCAGCAGCTGACTTTATTCCAAAATGATGCGCAGTGCAATCGATGGCTTTGCATTAAAAAACCACTCCTGTGTGGAGTTGTATATAGATTAAAATTATTATAAAATTCCTTTTTGCAGCTGTGCATGCCTGATACTCTAAGGGACTTTTCAAAAACTGGCAGGTGTATGTAATTAATGAACAAGAAGAATCCTCTTCGCCTTTTTCTGCTGCAGAAGTCACACACTGGTGCAGAAAGGATGACTTTTCAGCAGAAGAGGGCACTCTTACACTGGCAATTTGCCTGCGTGCCACTTAGATTAAATGGACTGTTTTTTCTATATGTTATGATAGCCTTGGTTTGCCTAATCTGTTCCTGTAAATGGTGTAATCCCTAAAGTAAAAGCAGCAACAAGAAATCAGACTATACGACTAATTTGCATATGTTAACATTCCTGTTTAAAGCCATTGCTAAGCTTTTCCTAATTAGCAGGCTTCTGGTTTAAAAATGCTGCATTAATATGTATACATAGAAGCATCTCTTTGACTGTTCCATAATTAGAATTACTGGCTCTGCTTAGTGTCCTGTTAACCCTTAATTGTATTTAAACTGAAAACAGGATAACTTTAGGAGGAATTACATGTGTAGTACTCACTTTATTATGCTGTTGCTTGCATCAGTGAAAGTAATGCCGTAAGCACCTCGCTGTTGCCAGTGCATTGCTCTAACAATGTGGAAACTGTCTCTCCCTCTCCAGGAGCACTATGAAAAGTACGATGGTTTCGTGATCCTTCATGGCACTGATACCATGGCATATACAGCTTCAGCCTTATCCTTCATGTGCGAGAACCTGGGTAAAACTGTTGTTCTGACAGGATCTCAGGTAATGGACTTAATTTGAAGTCAGAAGCCATATTTTTCATTTTTATATGCAAAACTAGGTAGCATCCTGATTATCACTGTATAGTTTAGTAATGAAGGGCAGACCTCTGTCCAGGGTGAATGGTCACAGCGCTGATAGAAATTAGTGAGAATTGACGGGCTCACCAGCTGAGGATCTGCCCCATAATTTTATCATTAATGACTTTACAACTCAGTACCAAATCGGACCAGTCGTTCATTATGGCTGGGGCCAGATGCTTCAGAGGAAGATACAAGAGCCTGTCGTTGGCCATTGTGTATTAATCGGTTTATGTGAGAAGCATCTTTCTAGCCTCAGGTGGCTGCTGGTTGTTAGCTGTCTTTTTTCTCTTTTAAAGCTCTGAAGCTTTTATGTTTTACTTCATCAGTTGTTTATCCCATCTTACGTTACTCATTGTTCCATTCTTTATAATGGTTTTAATAATCTCTAAGCATTAGATGCATTTTTGATCGTTTCTGTTTCACAAAGCATCCAACGTGGTCTGTTTCCTTTCCTCTAAAGACTACATTTATTAATTTTCATTCCCTTAGCTGGAGATCAGCCCTTCGCATATTGTCTGAGGGGGAAGGGTTGTCTTACTAGAATAGTGTGCTTGAGCATAAAAATACAGCTCTAATCACAAAGGAGAGATGAAACATTGTGCTATAAAATTCCCCTCCCCCATCTAATACTTCACTTTCGCATGTGGTCTATTTGAAGTCAAAATACAAAAGTCCAGGAAGGAGTAGGCTCCCGCTTACTGTCTTGACATGGGGCAGCCTTGTTGTGATACATTACATTCAAGGTTTTACTTTCTTTTTGGCTTTATTGCTTGGAGATCTGACTGACATATGATCTAGCAGTGGAGCATAGGATTTTTTTTTCATTGCTGAAAGGAGCTCTGACTCTCTGTTAATGAAGAGGCAATCTGAAAAGGCATGGTAGTCATCACTCAGCAGACCAAAACTCTGGTTTTAATCTTGTCCTTTTCTGTCTGTAATTACCTGCTGGCTCAGTTTTTCTATACTAAGAGGAAAGATGGTGCAAGAGAGCTGTTGTGAAGCCTGTTGTGGCAGTTCTGTATGATCTGGGGCTGTTGCATTTTCTCTGCACAATCACTTCTCTCATGCTCAGTCACTTTAACTGTGCCTGCTTTCTATTTTTTATGATTTTCCTGAATCAGTCTTTTAATCTGCTTAATCACACTAGAATCATCTCTATATTAGCTTTTAAGCACTTAAATTATAAAAGTCTGTTAAGCACAGAGGGAAATCCTGCCATCTGCTGCAGTCTAAAATAGTCTGGATGAAGAAGGAAACTTTAGTTGTAAGAAATCATTGTTACATAAATTATTACTGTATTTATGTTGCATAAGTTGGACTCTTTCTGCTATGTAGGCTTTCCATAATGTACAGTGTGTAACTTCAGTCTCTGCTCTTCAGGTGCCCATATATGAGTTGCAGAATGACGGCCGAGCCAACCTTCTGGGGGCACTGCTGTTCGCTGGGCAGTTCGTGATTCCTGAGGTCTGTTTGCCTGTGAAGACCATCTCAGAAGCTGCTTTTCTTCCTCTAGTCAGGACGTATACTTAAATACTCAAAATATCCAGTAGGCAGTAAGGAGTTGCACTTAAACAGGAAGGTGAATGGATTCTGCTGAGGTAATAGGCACTTGCATGGCAAAGCATGTGCCAGTTTCCCAGAAGTCATATCTCATTTTGCCCATATACAATCTGTAAAGACTATCAAGTCTGAAATGTAGCTTGAAGCAGACTTGAAATCAGAGGTTCCCTTGCAAATAAATGGGATCTGAAACACTTGTAAGTAATTTTTGAAACTGAAAGTTACTTTGAAGTTCTAAAGTTGCTCTAGAACTGCTGTCTTCTAGCTCTAGTTCCTGAAGACTAAAGTGCCAAGGATGGTATACCATATACACGGAAGTACCCTCAGGGTCTCAGCTCCCTGTCTTTACAGATGCTGGTATTGTGCAGCCCAAAAATCAGAGAAAAAAACAGATCAGGTTACACCTCATTTAACTTCTACCAGGCTCCCCAAAGCTAGTTTTTTTAAGACAACAGCAATAGCTGGCTGGCCAAGATCTTTGTAAGTATTAACAATTTTGAGGTATCTCTTTTCCTTCAAATTCCAGTTGACAAACTTTAAGAGACTTGAGAAGGAACATAATTATGTGTGGTAACTCTTTTGAAAGTTGTCCTCATTTTCACCAGGCCTTTTGTTAAAGTTTTGGACTCTGCATTTAGATATAACTGATGAACTTCTTAAAAAGTCCACGCTGTTCCTTTCCTCTATCTCTTAAGTGGGCTCGGGCAAATTTGCTGTCTCTCAGACTATGCCTCATGAGAGGATTACGAAACTAGTTAGCTCTTAACTTGTTTTGTTCTTAAATTTTTAAGCGAGTGTGACGGATGTGCCAACTCTTTTTGCAAGTTGTAAACATCTACTAGCCTCTGAGTTGCTTTAAAGATTCAGAAAACACTTTATAAAGGACGGACTACAGTATTTATCTACTGAATCTTTTAATTACTGGCTTATTCATAGACCTGTTTCTTTACTTGTCTTGCAGGTGTGCCTGTATTTTTATAATAAACTGTACAGGGGAAATAGGGTGACTAAGGTGGATGCTGGGAGTTTCAATGCCTTTTCCTCACCTAACCTGCCTCCACTTGCAAATGCTGAGGTTGATATTACAAGTAAGCAACATCATCTCTTAAGCCTTATAATTTATGCCACATGCAATAGAACTCTAGCTGAAAAAATCTGTGCCTATGTAGTTGAAATGCTGGTTTTAAACTCAAATATCTTTAAAAGCCTTGTAGCTTGACTGCACTTCATCTCTTCGGAAACTGTTTAAATATTATTAAGACTGAGAATTTGTGACTCAACTGCATTTATATTGTTATGAGCTAGACTGACTTTGACTAAAGATCCAGACTAACCAGAGGGAGCGTTGCCGCTGTGTCACGAAAATACTTACTCTGAAGATAGAAATGAGGGAGGAAAGACTGAAAGAACAGAGTTTAATCTTGTTAATGACTGTGCTGGGTTCTGAAATCAGGCAAAAGAGTCATTGCAGAGTACTTGCTGCTTCAGCAGATTCTCTGTTTGATGCATGTCATCGTGTGAAATATTTTACTGGATATTTAGGACCTCTAAACTGCAAGCACACTGGAATGAGCAGAGCTAGAATATGCACTGTGTGAAGTTCTTTTTTCCTCAGACTTACTCACGCTCCCTATAATTTCTGGGTGTCTGTTTCTTTAAGGAAGGGAAAAACTACATGAAAATTTCAGTACCCATTTGCAAAGTCTTTAACACATTGGTGTCCTTCTTGGATAAACGGCACCCTTTCTTTGGAGAAGGGAGAAGAGATGCACATTTGGAATCTAGCCAAATGAGGAGTTGCCGAAAAACATTCTGTGCTTCAGCTGTTGTATTGCTGTGCGGGTCAAAAACAGTGTACCTGAAATTAAGAGAAATGCTGTCAGTTGATTGTTGTGGTGAATTGGGGAGAATCTTCTTTCTTGCGTTTTTATGAAGTGCATCAAATAGGGTATAAATAAATTCTGTTTATTGACTGATCAATAATGAAATTGAGCTGCAAATTGCATGCTATTACTCTTGGGTTTGAATGAACTGTTTTGTGATTCCTTGTCTATAGTAGAAAAATGAGAAAGTTATTAACTACTTCCCTTGGCCCATGTTGGGTCCCATTATCTTTTCAGGAGAATGCTCCACTGAGATCAGTGGGAATTTCTGATTTAAAAATGGATGGAGCGATAGGCTCTATTTTTATTTGTTGCAGTTGGTTAACCAGTTAGGGTGGCATCATTGATCCAAGATGATGGTCTTAGTATTGAAGGATTGTTTCATTTTGAAAAAACAGGGTTTATACTATGGGCAATCTACTGGTGCTGCTCTGTTTTGTCCAAAGTAATTGTTTGAAACATTGCTGTCTCCCTTGTTGAGTTTGCTTGTACAGTCCTCTTATGAAGCTTTTGTGGAGACAAGGAAGCACTTGGGCTTTTAAAAACAAACCAAACAAATCTAGCATCTTTTAATTTGGGGGGTTTTTCCCCAACAACTTTGTATAATATGTCTTAATCCTCCTGTAGACAGGGCTGACTCTTGCTGCTTCAGCATTATGGAGAGCAGCCTGAGGGTGCCAGGAGGAGTAGGCCATGTGCAGAAACTCTTCTTCAGACTTCCTGGTTCTAAGGAAACTGGGAATGAAAATTCCAGAGAAGCAGAGGGGGAGAGGTGACAGGATGGAGGGAGTGGGGACCATAATGGAATCATGGGTTGGTACACAGCAACGAGGAAAGGACATGCTGTTCAAGGCTCAGCATACCATATAAAAACAACGATCTACTTCAGATCAGAGAGGAGAGGGAGAATCTTAGTCCTCTTCAATTCCCTACCCCCGCTGCAGCTCTCTTTTTCGTTTTGATAGCCATTTTCAACTCATTCCCCCTTCAGTTGTGTCTCCCGGTAGAGTTCTGATCCCACCAACTGGCTGTGTTCTCACATGGATCCTTAACTGTGTTAGCAAAACCTGAGAGTCCCATTATCCAGTTTTAGACAAGTGTGTCAGCTTCCTCAAGACTTTGAATTTAGCACAAGAAACTCCTGTAAGTGAAAAATTCTAGCCCACTCCCGAGATGAGTAAGAAAGCCAGTGCAAATGGGAAATACTTTTGCAGCAGAATCGGAAATCTCTGTATGAAATGGATGATATAGAAATAACGAAAACTATTTCTAAAATCATAAAGCTTTTCAAATAAAAGACCTTGCCTTATTTCTCCCATATTTTGAAAACAGGAGAGACAAGGGAAACTATTTCACTTGAAATGTGCAAAGAGACTCAGTATATTTCATAACTGATCACTCTCCTCTGTTCTCGATTGTCCTACTGAAGCAAATACGAAACTTGCTTTGTTACCATGGCTGGACTTTCCTCATCACACTGCATGTAACTTCTGGGAGTGGTGCACACATACAGGACTGTATGATGAGAAACATAACTTGTGTGGGGGACGATCAGAGCCCGTGTGATTGCGTGTGCAAACATGGTGCAGCAGCAGCAGCAGGTGAGAAGGCCCTTTTGGCCTTGTCTATCCACCAGTCTCATTAGAGAGAAGCTATTTGTCACTGGCCAAGTCTATGACCTGGTTGGCAGTTCTGGTTATTTATTATAGAAAGCCCAAGTCACTTACAGATTGAGGCGAGTGCTAGCCCTCTTCACTGAAGTGTTTTTGGTGCCCTCTTCCCCCTGGAAGTGGGCATGTTGATTCTTGCAATAACACCGTTCAATTTAAATATTCATTTAAAAAGGTGTGTGTTGATTGTTTTGTTACAAACTGCCAAAAAAGGGGGTCTCTGTGTGTGTTGGCCTCCTTCAGGAATTTGCACCCATAGGTTGGCCTGTGCTCCCCACCCCTTGGCTGCCACCGTGAATTGTAATGAACGCCGGGGCAGCTTATATAATGGTAGGGCTCGCCCGCAGACCTGCAGAGAAGGATGAGAAGAAAGCATTGCTGTTTGTCTGGAGCTCTGCAGTCATGAAAAGCTGTATTTCTTGTTTGATTTCATAACTTGCAGTTCAATCACCACTCCTAAGGGAGGTGTTGCTCTTAGTTGCTGCTCTCCCATTATAAGTTGAGACCTGCATTGTGGCATAGGCGCTGATTAACAAAAGGATGAGGTTTTTTTCCCTGCTGCTTTCTAAACTGTGTAGAGCTGCTTCTCTTTTTTTATTTTATTTTATTTTTAAGTCAGGTTGATGTTTTTTCTGCACTAACCCTATCACTGTGTATGTCTCTGTATGAGTGAGGGTAAAGCCAAATAAGGATGTATTTTTTGAGCTGTAATTTTAAAAGCTGTAGTGTGTGGTAGGGAGGGGGAGATTGGGAATAGCAGAGTATTGTTTATTCGATGGTTTTGTTTAGAAGAATAAACAAAAAAGGCTTTAATATCTTGAATGTAGTTTCCTTGAATAATGCAATTTTTTCTATCCCGAGCCATTTTGAATAGAGTGTATAAATAGCCATTACCTCTTTATTTTATGTGTGCAGCTTACAAAACCTTTCTGCTGTACAACAGGAGTAGCTAGCTTATGTTTGTTCCTTAGCTTTGTATCCATATTTACATAATGCAATACACTATATCAGTTTAACTCTTTACAAGCTCAGGCCATCCGAGTCAGAACAGGTTACTGTTTACTGTGTTGTGCCAAAAATTAATATCCCTAATTAGTCACTCTTATCCATAGAATAAAAAACTGTTATGAACACTGATATATACAGCTTTTTGTACTTCACCTGCTTGCATATGAGTTTCTTACTTAAGAACAGTTAGTGATTCCCAAGAATTTTTTTTTTCTTTAACAAAAGAGATTACTCCCTCGTGTGACTATAGGCTGCAAGATAGCTGGTTTATTCAGTACAATGAAGATGCTTGAGCTTAGCAATGCAATGAAAATATTTTTTCTTTTGGGGGATGGAATCTTTGAGATCAAGAATGCAAAAGGTGTCTTCTAATTTTTACCCCCTGCATGGCAGTCAGGCCCGCTTACAACAATTCTGAATAAATCTGATGCTCTTGCATCACACTTGCCTGCTGTCTTGCCTTTTAGACTCATTTGTCTAGTGGTAAACTGACATCTCTGGAGTCTGCAGTACCAAGTACGTTATGTAGGCTGACAGTGTACAGGACCAAGTGACTGTTAACTCAGGGCCAATCTCTAGTTTTCTTTTAATATAATTTGGAATCACATCACTGTGCTACGTCTGCATGCATTACATTTATCTTGAAGATGATATGTTTTTTGGAGGAGTGTGCTCCAAGAACACAGGTATAGGCCTGGTGCAGGTCTGACTTCTGAACCTATCCTCTGATCTCTCTCCTTGGTCTTCTGCTTTTGGCAGTATGTTAGTCATCCATGCCAAGGCAGGTTTCCTCAGTTCATTCTTCAAGTTCGTTACAAGCATTAGGGTTGCTAATAGTTGCCAAACTTAGTAGTATGCATTTGGGAAGTTTTGGCAGGGATTCCTAGCTTATGCAGGATAAAAGAAAGAGCTCTGATACAATTTTATTGTCATCCCTTTTTTATAGAGGAGGCTGCTTTTAAAGAATCTAGATTAGAAGGCTGAAAGAATTCAGTTTATTGCTAAACGCTGTTGCTTCTTAAAGCACCATGCTCATGAGTGAATGTGGTTAGCCAGGCCTACAAACCTGAAGCAGAAAAAAATTAATTGTTTTTAGAGACCCTAACTCGCTCTGGAAAGCTCGTGGAGGCCTTTGAGAGCTCCTTGGCTAACTACTAAATCCAACCAGGTGGTTTCAAAACTGTACTGGCCAGCCTAGCACAAAGAAAGAAACTGTAGAACTGGTCTATATTTCTATTCTCTCATTCCCAAGGCATTAGGAAGTGCTGAAGTGTGCCTGGTTGGACAAGTGTGATGCCAGGCCAACTGCTTGTGACCGCTTTAAGGACATAGAGTATTTTTTCAGAAAGGACAGAGGCTCTAGTTGCTGACAGGGCACCACGACAGGCAGCGCAAGTTTGTAAAGTCTTATAGGTGGCTGCTATTTTCTGTCCTGACTTAATGGATTATGTAATTTTTAGCATCTCTGGTAGTGGGGCAATAGAGTAGGTTTCAGTGAAGGCTTTTAAATGTACTCTGAGGTTTTTTGTGAATGGCTGTCTGCTGATTGCAAGAGATTGCAGCAGTAATTGGTGTGAGTAACTCTGCACATGGCTGAGAGCAAGTCAGTATTATGCATGCAGATCTTTTATCTGTCTTTCTGCTTGAGAGTTTCTCCAAAATCTAAAAAGCTTAAATCATGATGGGTAGCTTTGCAACATGGTCTATTTTCACTGAAGCAGGATGCTCTGAGCATTTGGCTGCTGTTTGTTAAACTTCTTCCACTGCCTTGTAGGGGCCGTCAGGGCTACCAACACTGTGCTCCTACGCTAAAGTAGTAAAATTTTGAAATCAATAATGCATGGCTTGGCTTCTAATACTGCAACACAAACTATTAAACAGCTGGCTTCTGGCTCTAAATGTATAATCAAACTTAATTGAATCCTTGCTATTTTATTTAATTGTTAGTAACTACCTCATAAACTCTGGAGGTGATTAGCAGCAACAGTAACTGCATTTGTCATTTCTTATGTCTGGGAAGATGAAGGTCTGTTTCCTAAACATGAATCCAGGATGGTGTCGGGCCAGGTACATAACGATGAAGTTCGGGTCGCTGTGGAACAAGTGAAAATCTCACCTGTGCTGGACACGCGTGACATTCTGTTGGCTGAGGCTTTCTGAGCACTCTGAACTGAGAGAGTTGGCACTAACAGGCCATGTTCAGTACTGGGAACCCATTAAGTCTCGTGCTCGGTTGTTTTTCACAGCTGTTGGGCTTCTCTTTTGAAGAGGTTATAGAAGCGGTGCACAACCTAGTGTCTGATAGAGCATCCTGTTCACTAACGGGCATTGAACTAAAACATCTGGTTTGGAATTCTTTGCTATAAAATGCTATTAAAATGGGGCAAGATTACATGCTAAATATCTCCTTGAAGGGCACTAACTTAGAGATATTGAGAAGTAATACTGGTATATCTTGGAAGCTAGACTATTTTGGAATGAAAGCTAAAATATAGCGCAGTTGAGCCTGACCTGAATGTGGCCTGGAAGACATACTTTGTGGCACCTAATAAATATGTTACATTAGATCAGCTGCTATGGCTGATGTCTTACATGGAGCTTCATCTCCTCTTTTCAAAAATCTGTTGTCTTTCATGAATCCTCTAGATTCACAAGAAACAGTTTTAAAGACAGTGTTTTAAGTATGAAGTGCTACAAGTGTACTTAATATTATGTCTTAATATTAAATTTACTGTGAGGGTGACAGAACACTGGCACAGGCTGCCCAGGGAGGTTGTGGAGTTTCCATCTCTGGAGACTTTCAAAACCTGCCTGGATGCAATCCTGTGTGATGTGCTCGAGGGAATCCTGCTTTAGCAGAGGTGGTGGACTAGATGATCTCTAGTCCAGAGGTCCTTTCCAGCTCCAATGATTCTGTAATTCTGTAAATTAAAGAGGACATTTCTCTTAACAGTAAACTGGGAAACGGTCTGGAGAGCTAATACCAAAAAGAAATTTCGAGTTCACACCAATATGAACAGGAATGTTGGGCTTCTGCGAATCTTCCCAGGAATCACTGCTGCTGCTGTAAGTGTCACCACTTCATTTTGGAATTGGGTGAAGTGATGCTCATATGCTTGATTAGTTACCTGAAGGAGGGAAGCTGCATTTTTTGTAGCAGTGATTGGGGTTGTGGAGGAAGGGAAAAGTTCTGCCTTCTTCTGATAAACATTTTTTTTTAATATCATAGCCTTCAAAGACTATTTTCATATGCCATAAACTATGGAAAAAGCTTTTCAAATATCTTTTGTCTAAACAACCTGGTCTCTGAAACTTAAAATTAATTTCTTACCAGGGATCATAAATAGGTCAAGTGTGCTTTTCAAGATAGGTGCAGGCTACAGTGACCATGAAAATGCTCTCTTGCTCCATGTTGAGGCATATTAATAGACACCTTGTCAAAGAATATGTAACATGCTGGGTGGATGGGAGTGTAACTGTTTCTAAAACTCAAGCTTTTTTTAAGGTTCATATTGTCTCACACTGAGGTTAACATGACCCTCAGCATTCATACAGAGCTGAAAATGAGAAGGGGGATTTTGCAGCTGAAAATGAGAAGGGGGATTTTGCTGCTGAAAATGAGAAGGGGGATTTTGCTGCTGAAAATGAGAAGTGGGATTTTTTTGCTGTTAGAAATAATTTTGCAGAACTGTGGTTTTAGGTAGATTGGTCTTAAATTTTTGTCTGATACTAATTCTATTAAATTGACAGGTCTTTTGTGGCTGTTGCCATCTTAAATTGAATCCAGTACTTTAAGCAGCACTCCTCAATCATATTACCATTCTTTTTAGGTGAATGTGAACAGATGGAAAGGCAGAGGGGTGGTGTATTTGCAATAAAACTCCAACTGCATAGTTAGCCTCATGGGTGCTTACAGTGTATTGCATTTAGCATACATGATCAGCAAGAAGACATCTAGGTTGTTTAAAATACATCTTCTAAGAAGAGGAGTTTGCTGGGCATTCGCTTACGGTGAGGCACAAGAGCTGCCTCATTGACAACTGTCGCAGAATGTATTAGTGCCTCTTTTTTCTGCCGTGAGTTAAATCAATTGGATTTTGAATTAAAAAACTCCAGGCTTCGCTAGAAGCTCTTTCCTGAAAGGTGAGACATTCTTTCTCTTAGGCAGATGTTTGTTAACAAAACTCTTTGCTAAATTAAGAAATCTGGGCAGGGGTTTGAATCTCAATAATTCTACACTTATTTCATAAGCGTAAATCTACTTTTTTTTTTCCCCTGTGTGGTGCAACAGTATAGCCTATTAATGGCACTTGAACAATAGCATCCTTTTTCACACTGAGGTCACGATTGTAGAAAATATTTTATTTTATTCCTTTAGGAATTTTAAAGGAAGATAGAAAGTGAAATTCTCATATTTTTTTAAAGCTTATTCTACAGTCCCTGCTATTGGGGAGCACAGAGGGGCATGAGAAGACTGCAAGGCATGAGAGCCTCACAAACTATGATAGGAAAAGACCATTTTTTTGTGCCATACAGGAAACTCTTAATGTAAACACACCTTTTGTCTCTCTTCACTGTCATGTTTTTAAACAGGTAAAAGCATTTCTTCAGCCTCCAATTGAAGGCATTGTACTTGAAACTTACGGAAGTGGCAATGCCCCAAACAACCGAGAAGACTTGCTGGAAGAACTGAAGAAAGCAACTGAACGAAAAGTAGTGATTCTAAACTGTACCCAGTGTTTACGAGGGTCTGTTAAGACAGTTTATGCAACAGGGCAGGTAAGGGTTGTGCAGTAATTTCAAACTCCACTGCTGTGTAAAAGAAGCATCTCACTGATACATCTTGATTGTGTACTTCTAGTAGTCCAAGTGTATAAAACCAAATTTATTAATTTTAAAGATACTGCTCCTAAAATAACTATATCTGAAAAAAATCTTAAACTGGAAGCCTTTAAATATGTATCTACAAACAAGATCCTGTTACTCTTAGTCGAAATAGCTCAAATTCCAAATTACAGATCCCTTGCTCCTGTCATGTGCAGCACTCCAGGACACCTTGCATTAGATTGGTAGTATCTCTCCCAAAGGAATTCCACTGAGCTAGAAGCTGGCTTTGGGGTCAGATGATGAAATAAGTTAGTATTTGGTAGGGTAGCAGTCATTTAGCTACCATGTCAGAACATCAAAAAAGTCTGCAAATCCAAGCAATATTGCAAATCCTGGTTTTTTTATTTGACTGGAAGGATGACTGAATTCAGTGAGGGATTGAAGAACAGCATGTAAGGAAGTGTCTATCTTGCAGAATGGAAATCAGCTGTGTTTAACCCATGAAGGCTAGCTTAAAGCAGGCTTTATGTAGATCCTGTAAAGATTCAGGGCATTTTATAGTGAATTTCTTAATTGTGTATTAAGACATGACGTCACTGGGACTAATAAGAACTCAAAGCCATGTAAGAGTATGTGTTGCATGTGGTACTGTGAAGGAAGCTAGTTTAACTGGCCTTTGTAAAAGGGCTAGCCATTAAATAGCAAAGAAACGCTGCCAGAGGGTGACTCATCCCCCTATTTTAGACACCTGGTTTTGTTGGGAGCAGCCGCCTGTCTGGCAGAGACAGCCTCCTCATTGACAGTAACTCCAACCTAGATACTCTACTCCAGTGCTGAAACCTGCCTCTTTTACCACTGGCTTTGACGCAGCTTTAGATTATATTTGCTTCAAGAGCACATAGTCTTTTTTAGGGAGAAAGAAAAGGAGATTGCAAGAGTTTCTTTCCACCTCTTCAGTATCGAAACTCAGAATTTCCTGATACGGGCAGTCGTTTGGGTGTTAGTAAAACTTTCGGACAGCTTAATGGGGAAATTTTGAGAGGTATTAACTTTTACAAATACAATAGGAATACTTGGGTTATGTAGAAAAGCTCACATGGAAAGAATAAAACAGTTATGTTGACAAAAGACACCAAACATTTAAAAAACAACATGAAAGTGAAGCCTGGGTTTTACGTGATCTCCTGCTTGAAATGAACTGCTAAGATGTGTGGAAGGAAGAAAGAAACTTTTTTTATGCTCTGGTTAAAGGATTCTCCAAGCAGACACCTCTAAAATGGTTTCTTGCACTCTGATTCAGACTGTTAATATGTTGAACTGAAAGTTTCTGCTCAAGTCTTACTGAACCCCACGGTAAGGCTGTGTGGAAATGCGTTTGCTTCTGGCTTCCACTTTTTATATGGAGCAGGTATTATGTTGCTTCAGCATCCATTGGTGGAGGCTGCCCTGTTTTCTTGTCATCTTCTGAGGAAAACACTGACAGAGCCAAGTCCTACAAAATCACCTCGTGCCTGTTCTTTCATTGCCTTCTCCTTTTCCTAAGGAACTGCTGAATGGACAAAGTATCATGGGTGAAAGCTGGAAGGTTGCTGTAATGTTAACTTTACTTGGATTTTTTTTTAAATAAAATCTTTCACAGGTCTTTTCACATGGCTAGGCCATTTTTTACTCATTCAAGCTAGCCAGGAGTGTCAGCTGAGTCCCTGGTTTCCCTTGAAGTGTTTGTTTTAACTAACTGAATGTCTGGCCTCTGATCCATCTGCACAGTAGAAATTTATAATTGAAGGGACTTTAGGTATAGGAAGGAAGCTGGGAAATCCTTTCCTCCTCCTCTTTCTCAAAACCACTGAAAAAGCCCTAACTGTTCTTTGGCTAGCTCTGCAGTACAAAAAGTATTTCTCAATTTCTGTGTGTATGTTTTCCCATGGGACTTTTAAAAATTTTGGTCTGGGGCTCTCAGAGGTGATTAATGAGCTGACTAAGGCTCTGTATCTTGCTAAAAATATTAGTTAAGCTACAACAAGTTTCAAAGCTGAAGTTTATATACAAGGTATTTAAAAGTAAAAGGCAGTGTAAAGAACCTACTGCAAGATGCTTAACTGTGAGGCATCACATGATGATCTGTGGTTTAGAGAAGCTCAAGTGTTTGCACAGGTACAATTTAGTGACAAGAGATCTGAAATCTCCTTTGTCTTTCTTGTCTTGCTCACTGTGCACTTACAGGGCTTGCTCACCATAGCAAAGATCTTTCTGCTCTTTGGTTCAGATTGTTTGTTTTGGTTTTGCTTTGTTTTTTAACTACCAGAAAGATAAGTTAAAAAGGTCATATTTTTCAGTTTTTCTTGTCAGAACTCTGTAAATTACGTATTTTAGTTGTATGTTCTAAATCATACACTGCTCACACAGCCTGAAAGGATTTGAAAATACTCCTGCTGTGAGCACACTGTAGTGCTGGAATTCATCCAGAGCAGTGCCCCATAAAAGAATGGTAAATATGTCTGTGTGAGAACAGCCTACTTGGCAGTGTTCAAAATGCCACTGGGTTAAAACAGAGTAACTACAGCTTTTCAATAAAGGGAACTTGACAACTCTGCAGATAGCTGGTATGAACCTGTAACCTTTCCCTTTTAGCATACTAAGTGGCCGTGGCAAGCATTTGGGTAAATTCTTTAGTGTTATTGCGTGAAAAGGAATTTAAAGTGAAAGTCATCTTTATTCAGCTGGCTGTAGTATTTCCTTGGTATTTGATAATTAAAATCACAAAAATTACAGTGGCAGTAGGAGGAGCAAGAGGGTGGAGGCTTGGCTGCGTACTGTATTCTGTGTAGCTACTCATCATTCATATACATTTTCTCTTCATGCAGGTATTTCTGAATGCTATGCTAACTGGAATTATTATTCCTCTTTATTCAGACTCTTGCTGATGCTGGAGTAATTCCTGGAGGTGATATGACACCGGAGGCAGCCCTAACTAAACTATCATACACGCTCAGCAAAAGTAAGCTTAGCTGGGAGGAGAAAAGGCAGGTAAATATTTCAGTGTGACCTTGAAAGCCTTTAACTTTTTTCATCTGCTGTGCTAGCTTCTGCTTAGCTGAATGCATTGAGCTTCTCCCTTGCATTCAAAAGCAATTGGCTCTAGAGCCATAATGTGAACATCACGTTTTTTTTTTCCCTTAAGGAGACTACTGTTAGGCAAATGGATACATGTAGATTGGGGGAGAAAAGAGTTTTCTGCTCAAGTCAGGTAAAGACCGTGACTAAACCGTAAAAATACCATCTTTAAGCAGTAGTAGTCTACCTTGGACATTTCTGTACTAAAAAGCTGTATGTGAAAATTCAGATGGGAGACAGATTCCCAGCCCTACTGAAGTCAGCAAAGATCTTGTCATTGATCTTGGTGTGGTAAAGATTTCATCCAAGACTCATTCACACAAAGCTAATTCTGAAGATAAATATTGCCTACAGCCTCTTTCTTTACAGCATTACTCCTGACAGTGCTGGATTTTGCCTCTCCAAAAGGAGATACACTTTACAAGTATTTAAGCCAGAGAGGATTATTTAAAGAACCAATTGAAACAGATTTTAAAATCATAACCCATTTAACCATGTTCTTACTGTTCATTGGTGCTTAATCAAGGCTTTTTACCTCAAATTATATATCATGTTCCTTTTACACAAAGAACGTCCAAGTCTGAATTAGATAGGAGGGCAGCAGTCTGCAGGTTTTATTTCTGTGCTTGTATGCAGTGAAATCATAATCCTGACACTTTGGGAGATGACATCATGATGAGTCACTCTCTAGACTTAAGCACTGCATGCACATGTGTATCTTATGATGTTGCTTTGGTTTTTTTAAAACTGAAACAAAACTGATCATTATTTCATGCTCAGTTCTTCCAACCAGTAGCAGCTCTTCGGACAAACATATTTGGATACCTGTAATCTTAAGTGGGTTGACTGGAAGTTTGTAACTTACTGTGCTTAGAAACAGTTTCAGACTCCGAGCTTTTGGTTGTTTGCTAAAGCCCTGGCTCTGAAAAATGAGAGGAGGGGGAGCTATGTGTTTCTTCAGTGAGGATGGCAAGAACATGCTTTACAGGCGACACAATACTGTGTGAAGAGTAGTGGTATTGCATGTTTTTGTGCATGGACACTTCAGAAACACAGGCTCTTCACTGATGCCCCTTTGGTACACTCACTAACCCTGGAACATATGTATACCAGCCTATATTTTTAATGCAGACTTTAGTCTCGTTACACAGAGAATTATTTGACCTGAGACGGCAGAAAATTTCCCAGCTGGCTTTCTGCCTAGGTGTGTGAGTAAAACTTAATTTGAGATCCAGTTTGCTGAGATGAGAGAGCTGACTCAGGTGAGAACTTGGTGACAGGATGTTTTAGGTACCACTGGCACAAGGCACTCCTGCATCTTCATGTGCTGCCTAGTTTTTGTGTGGCAGTGCTGGAACCTCCTTTAAACAGTTTGAAAAACAAAATAACTTTTGCAATTTTCTTTGAGTTAAGCAGGATTGGTTTCCTCATTTGACTCATTGTACACAGACCCGCAAACAATTGTGTTGGCACAACTAAGGGAGCAGCATGCTGCATTGCCTGGGCAGGAATGAGTGGTAGAGACCAGGAGAAGAAGAAAGCTTGGAAATATGCTGTCTGTGGCAATATCTGCAGCTAAACATATCACCAAACAATAGTCTCCCAAGAGACGGAAGCTCTCCTGAAGCTGGCGTGGTTATTTTAGGATTCTCTTTCAACATGAAGAAGCAAGGAATGTGCCCCCAGACACATGCAGACGGCTGCAGGGCTGGTAGGATTGAGTAAGCGCGCAGGGCTTTGCACTGGGTGCATTCAGCGCAGGTGCCAATTGCTAAGGTTACCTGGGCAAAGCAATGATCTCAACCTGTCAAACTCTAAAAACTGCGCCAAAGTAGTTGGTGTCCTCTGAGTTACATGTATATGGGATTCTTCCAGCAGACAGCTATACTGTTGTCAGCGCTTGGAGGTTGTTTTTTTAGTAATAAAGGGCATGCCTAGACATAAGTAAACCTGGGGCATTCCTCCTTCCAACATCACATCTGTTTCTTGCAAACTTTCACAATCCTGCTTTTTAAAATTCTAATTGAAATAACTATGTTCTTTATAGCTGCATCAGCAACCTTTTGTGAAAAAGTGCCAGTATGTAAAATTGTCAGAATCGAGGAAACCAGTTGCTTTTTCTTAGTGACTGGCTTCTCTCTCTGTTCTTCAGGTTTCCCAGAACCTGTCTTTTGGAGTATTTTCATTTTTTGTTGCTATATTTAAGCATTTTCTACACATAAATTGGCTGACCTTTTTTTTAATTATTTTTTTTTCCCCCTGGTTATATTGGATGCACCCATCCTCCCAGCTATTACATGCCTGCTTTAATATTGAATGATCAGTACTGCTGTAGACCTTCTACATTCAGTGCTGGCTCTGCGGCCAAATTTTAACAAAATCAGGGCTAATGGAGCTCTTTGAAAACCTACCGAAGTACATGACTGTCCACAGGTAGCACTGGGCTTTGTTTTGAGGCCTGTGTACACAGTCTGTGTAGGAGTCTTGAGGTTTGGGAATGCTTGCAAAAGGCAGCATTCCAGAATATTCTGGTCTTCAGCCTCACTCTGCCAATTAATCACTATCTTTGTGTTTTTAAGTAGGCTGCAGCTTACCCCACTAGGGAACTTTTGTCTGCATACTCTAAAAATCGGGGTGTTTTGTTATGTGCTTATTTTGGTTTCTTTGCTTTGGAAGAAAGTTTTATTTGCCTGTCTCTCCTCCCCCCTGCCCCTTTGTCTTTTAAACTTACAATCTTCATGGGACAGTAACTACTTTAATCTTTTGTCTGTATTCAATTAGTTTCCATAATTCCTCCAAACAATTTTCTAACTTCATCCTAAGATTTTTTTATTAGACTCCTACCATATTTTTCCCCTGCTAACAAAGGATTTGATTGCTTGCTTTTCAGATGCTGAGTGAGAATCTAAGAGGAGAAATGACTGTTGTACCCACAGGAGCCAAGATCTCTCTGAGAGATAGCAAGTTTATTCAAGTGATTGCCAAATCTCTAAGTATCAGCAGCAAAGAGGTATATACTTAAATATTTAAAACTGAACTCATGTCAAGCTGTAAACTCATTTAAATGAACCTAGCTTAAAGATGAACAACAAAACAGAAAGAAAAATGGAACATTGGAACTTTTATATTTTTTTTTAGTACTGAGTGTCCCAGCTAACCAGTTGGGCTAGGGAGAAAGGACACAATAACATGCGTAACGTTAAAATGTTTTTAATTAAAAACATATTAACTTTTTTTTTTTTTTTCTCTTTGTAGCCCCATCTTGAGTTTATTTTCTTAGCTGGCTGGTCGCAATAGCAAGCCTCAGACAGTTGCTGTAATTCAGGGTATCAACGATATGAAAAAGTGCTTTGTATTTTTGTGGTCAAATGTATTGACAGTTTAGAGCAGTCCAAATAATAATGGGTAAAACAGCTTAATTGTACATGCAGTCCTAGAGGCTGATACTAAATTACACTACACAAGTGTAATTTGTAGTGTTTAGTATTAGTCCCTCCCAATTGTAAAATCAGAAAACATAGTATCGGTTGTAAGACAGAAGTATTTTCTTTTGTCTTGTCTTGTTTTCAGGGAAGATGGAATTCTTAGTAGCTAATGGATACCGAGTATATGGTGCCTCTTCAGTAAATGTGAGAAATGGGAGGGTATTTAGGGGACCTGTGGGGTTTTGGAAGGACAGGTTACATAAATACCTGAGGATTCTGAGTAGAGTTGTTCCAGTCTTGAGGAGACTGGACTATATAGTCTTTTCCAACTCTGACCAGTGCTGTTTCTCTTACTGTACTGGTGTGTAACTGTGGTAGTACAGAGATGAACCTCTAGATATGGGGTAATTATAGTGTTGCCAGGGAGGAATAAAATTCCTATGGATGAGACCAACAAAATGTAAAATAAACATGAGACTTCTTTCATTCCAAGAACTAAATGCTACCATTTTTAAATAACCAGATGACTTATTTGGAAACTTTACGTGAAAGCAAGGGCAGTGTTTTTATGACTTGGACACCAATCATATTAGAGGGAGGCTGATATTAAATGTTTCATTTTATTTGTTCCTCAGGAGTTAGAAGCTGTAAGAGATGCATTAATTCCGCCTTTGGCTTGTGCTGCAGCTAAACTGGGTGACATAGATGCACTAAGAGCCATAGCAGAAATGGTAATGTAAAATTAATAGTTTGTACAAAACATGAATTTTTGAATAGAGCTGTAAATGAAGGGGGGAAGGTATGCTCACTGGGAAGCAACTACCTAAGTCTTAGAATCACAGTGTTTTGACTAATACAATTAGTTTTTAGGCTTCTCAGTCTTTGCCTCTCCAAACTGGTATGTTCGTCCCCCTGTCTGGTTCTCAGCTGCTTACATTTTCTTTTGAACTGTGAAAATACAGGTAGATTAAAATGCAAGTTCTTATCTCCTAACTTTGGAACACTTTAAAATGGTTTGTGCTGCTCTCTCTTCCTTAGCATTCTTTATGCATATTCACAGTATCCACCTTTTGGATGTAAATCTGTCATGATTAAAAAATAAAACAAAAAACTTGAAAATTGTACTTCAGCAAAACAGTGCAGTGCTAATTCAGGATTTTTGGCTGTCCACATACCTTTAGCTTAGATTATATCTGAAAAAAAGAAAGAGGCATTTCTCTGGATAATCTTCTACGCCTCTCTCTTTGCCTTGGTTTACCCTACTCTTGAGACTTTGGTAATGGGCCTCAAGAAAGGATGAATATATCTGAAAAATAACAATAAACAAAGACAAGTAAAATGAGCAGACTATAGGTACAAAGCTGCCATATGGTGTACTGCAGTAAACATATCTGAAGGGGTTATAATAAGAATGTGCGTTTAGAGGGGAACATTCAGAAGGTGGAATAAATATCCTTACTGATGCTAAAAGAACACTGCAAGATAAACTTTAAGTAGGTTTGACAAGCTTAACATTTTGGTGGCAGAATGCGAATGTGGTGTATGCATCTACTGTTGTACCAACAACTTTATGTGCAACCATTATCTTTTTAGCATGTGAAGGATCTGTCCTTTTGTAGGGTGGGAACTTGAGCTGTGGAGACTATGATGGCCGAACTCCACTTCATATTGCAGCCTCTGAAGGGCATTTACCATTAGTTGAGTATTTGTTGACATCTGGCGCAACTGTTTATGCTAGAGACAGATACGGATCTACCCCACTGATGAATGCGATCAAGTTCAGGTAACGAAGTAGTTTATATATTGTGCTCTGTGTAAAATTTAAAACCTTTCTATCATTTTTGGATTTAAAGACCTGCCCAGTGTTTTGGTCTTGTTTTGTCTCGGCAGTCATGTGTAAATGACAGCAGTTAAAATAAGACAAACTGGCTTCACTTCAAAGGATGTAACTAGCCTAAATTTAAAGGTTTTTTTTTTTAAAAAAAATAATATGGAATGAAAGCAAACAATCTGGTACGCATGCAGAATTTTAGCATAAGGTATCTAATTGCTGCCTTCCTGCCAAGACTTTGTCCATAATTTCAGGACTCCACTCTTTGTTATGAGGCTTCCTTATAAAACGGAGCCAAGCTGATCACTCCTTTTGACTGTCAGAAGTGAGAGTGCAGGATCAAGGGCTGTCTTTCCTTTCTGCCCTCCCCTTTCTCATCAAGACCAGGCTGTTTCAGTTGGCACAAAATATACTGGTAGGTTGACATGTTTTAATCTTTGCCTTCCACCAGTGCTTTCCTGAGTCTCTTGCTGGGTGACTGGTTTTTTGATTTTTTTTTTTCCCTTCCACCCACTCGTAATTATACGGGATGGCTGCATGGCTCTGCCTGCTTTGTGAATTTCCTCTTCGTCTTGTTCTGGATGTCAGAAGTTCTTGAATGGTGGTCACGGACATGTGACTTACTGGTCTCTTCCATGTTGTACAGTCCTCAGGAATGGCCATAGCACAGAATATGAAAGTTATCAGTTATCAGAATTTAATTATAAAACACTTAGTTTACATAGCCTGGGGATTCATCGAGCCATTGGTCTTCTAACGTGTTAGAAGCTGCATGCCCTAATCTATTCTTGTTTCTTTGTTCCACTTTCAGCTCCTTATCTCACATTCAGCCTGTATGATGGCAGGAAAGAAGCTTTTTGTTTCTGTAAAGGAGCTTGGAATGATAGAATTTTCATGGTCTTCGTGGATGTCTGTCCCCAAATATTCCTACAGCTTTTTAATGTTGACAAGTTCACCTGGTCTGGCAGGCTGGAGTTAGCTCCCTGGGAGGTCTGACAGTCCTGGTTTTGCATTGGCTGTAGGAATAATGTGAAGGTTTTTTCAGTGCCCAATGTAGAAAACTCAACAGGCTCTATTAATTTGAGACTTGAAGTCCTGTGTGGCCACACTGTGCTATTGCCTTACCTGCTGCATGGTCCCCTATGACTTTGTAGTTGTTGCTTTACCGCATGAATAATAGAAGCCCTTCAGTGGCAAACTCTTAAAGTCTTAAAGCAAAAACAAGCCCAACAGCAAATCAAACAAATAACCTCACAGTTGAATAGAGGTGGCTCTGGTCCAATGTGAGAAAATGCTAAAGCGCTAGATACCATTAGATGTTCCTGCAAATCAGGCACCTACTTTTTTTACCGCACCCATCTACCGCCTGAGGAATTTCACATGAGCTTGTTGTTTGGATTCCTTAGCATTGCCACTCCTATATTAGACTCCTACTATGACTCTTAAGCTCCTCAGAACTGCACACCCATTTTGGTACAGGGAATTGTAAAAGGAAACTGCACCATAACCATTTTCAGTTTCTCTTTTTGTTTCTACTGTTGGAATGAGAGGAAGAGCTGACTTAGAACTAATCTCGTAAATGCGTATTTATGATCGGCTGTGTACACATGCTGCATTTCACACTGATAAGCATGTAAAGGAGAATGGTAAAGATGGTGCATAATTAGATACCCACTAAAAAGATTTCTGCTACAGAAATACTTAATTTCTATTTATTAAACAGTTGCGTGCTGAAAGTGAAGAGATTATCCTGATGCAGTCTACAAAGTGGCAGAGAGGGAAGAGGAAAACTGATCTTAATGAGCAGTCAGTGCTTTAAACTGTTCAATGTTGTAACTTTCTCAATTTTACTGAATATTGCATCAGCTTAATCCCATTTCCTGAGAATTAATATTTGTTCAATTGGCATTTAACTGCAGTACAGTATCCACTGATCTTCAAAATAGCTTTCTTCCAGTTTTTATGTCACATTTCTCAGTGGCTTGCCTTTTAACCTAGCATGCAAACCTATATAATGATGACTGATTCTTGTTTTCCATTTAATAATTAGTAAAGATGATCAGGAGTTATGTGTCTTCTTAAAAGCTTCTTAACATAGCGCTGTCAGCCGATACACCAGCAACTTGATCTATGTCAATGATAGTCTCTTAAGTTTTTTTACATTAAATGACTCTCTCTTTGTTTCTTTAGATGGTAAAATGTGGAGTCCCGTTCTAAATAAGAAATAAACTACTGCACTTCCACTTTTTCATTTGTAACTCTGCAATTTGTGTGTAGTCTCATTCACTTTATGCGTGAAGCTAAACAGACCACTGTTAATTTAGGCCAGTTGCTTGATCAAAATTAGTAGCATTCCTTTAATTTCTTAGAGTACCCTCAAGGGATAATTCATTTTCAAAACAATAGAATAATATTTTTTTAATAACAGAAACTTTCTAATCAGGAAGATGTCTTGAATAAAAAATTGTATATATTTTATGTAGTAAAAGTACTTCCATTTACTTGTAGAGCAGTGGTAAAAGGTTGAAAATGGGGAGTTGCTCATGCAGTACTGTGAGAACATCAGATTAGAGGCAGTAAAATTACCTCCCACGTAAATATGAATTTAAATACTTGATATTTTGCAAGGTTACACTTACATTACTTCGGGAAATCTAAGACAGAGTGAAAATCAAACCACCACCGACTCCAGAAGTACACTGAAGCCTGTCCTTACAGTATTTGAGCATAAAATTCCCACTGATACCATGCAGAAAACAAAACAAGTGAAACTAAGCTGATCCTGCCATAACCATTCTAGGTTGCTAGGGTAGCAGGCATTAAAAAGAATGAAGCCAGTCAAGTTTGGATATACATTACACCTGCATTTCTTGAAAGAGAGTTGGTGGAAGGTGTGTACCCTAAGGCCCCAATCCTGCAAAGTCTTACATGTGTGTTAATTTCACATGTGTGATTCATCCCTTTTGAAGTTGATTCTCTTTTAATAAGTGTCTGCCAAGTCGAGGTCTAAGATGATACGTACTGTACAGCGCCCTGATCGCTGTGCAGCCAGAGCCCCCGTGAGCTGATGAAGGTTCAGATGGCTTTACCTGGAACTCAGACTTCGCTCGTAGTGGTGAATGTTGAAGACCACACTGAATCATTTCTTTTGCTATTGATCCATTAAAATATCAGTATACACTGGGATTTTTATCTCTACTGTTATCAATAATGGGATCTAGCAGAGAAGAGACACTAGAGAAACACTTTGTGTCTATTTGCTTTTTCCGTCAGAGAGCAGATGAATGACAGTGGTAGTATGGAAAGGCTAACTTAAGTAACATATGCAAAATAGCATTGTTTCTATAACCTATGTCTGACCAAGAGCCACATTTTGGTGACAGAGCACACTAAGAAGAGGGAGAGTCAGGAACAGTTCACTAGTGACTACAGCTCTTCGTGGTTTACTTATCAGATGGGGCTAGACTGGACAAGCAGCTGTGCACTGCAGGATAACATGGTGATATTGGCCTTCCCTCTACACCTTGAACTTCTATTGTCCAGCAGTTGCTCTGCTCTTGGTTTTGCACTGTCACCTTAAAACAGGAATTGCATTTGAGCCATTCCCAGGAGGTTCATGGCTCATGACTTCAGCTGAACTGTGACCCTCATGAAGCTTCTGTGAAGCTGCAGGAGAGCAGCTCTTAGAGAAGCAACTTCTACAGACACATGTGTCTCATGTGCCTGAGACATAACTGTATCAGAAAATTCACAGCCAGCCTCTTGAAATATGAATAATGCTCTTGTGGTAGGTACAAGGCAGCAGAAGTGGTGCTCTGGATACGGCTTAAGTTTCTGCAGAATGTAGATACCATTTGGGTGCAAGTAGGAACAAGCTGTAGTGCACCTCGCCTCCTGCATATTTTTCGTGTTGAGTGATGGGAATGTGAGAGGTGGTCTGTTTGCTTTCTTGGATGCATCTGCTTTTCATAGTCACAGTACCAATTTTAACACTTTTAAGTTGAGCATTACTATTTGTCCCTATTCTTCCTCTCCATTACCCTTCCCTTAACAAGCAGTGGTATACAACACTTCCTCTTCTTCCCACCATTCTGAGATACATGATTTTGAATAACTCTCAGTCATTGGGACACTGTACTTCCGTTTATTTTAAGTATTTATTGTAAACACTTTGTTTCCATGCTTAAACACTTATTTTATTTCAAACCATTTCTATTCTTTATTTAAATTTGCTGTATTAAACACAGGGGATAAATACTCCCAAATCTGTCTGTATCAAGGAGTTATAGGGCCCATTTAGAGTAGCAGTGGCTGTGTGGCATAGGTGGGACATGAAGTGCTTTCTGGAGGGAATCTCACTACTAGTGAGGAGTAAATAGTTAATGACGAATACTGCAGGGCAATCACTGGAGAGTAAACAGACAATCCCCATATTCAATTCTGTACCCAATGTGAGCTTGAGTGAACAGAAATATTGTAGTCTCTTTTAGGTCAAACTTATTTTCAGATAATTACTGTTCTGCTTAAGACTGAACTAAAAATTTCATAGTTGTAGAATTCGTTCTTCATCACAGTTTGAAAAACAGGAAACCATTCCATTATTTGCTAGCTCAAGGAGAGGCTTGTGGATGACTAGCCGTATCGTAAGGAACCCACCTGAGAAAATATTTTAGATAACTGAACGAACTTGTGGCATGTGCTGTTCTGGCAATGTTTTGCCATGAAGCAAAGAAAGATTTTTAATTTTTTTTTGGCTGTCAAAACAAAGTACAATTTCTAAAAAAATCTGTCTAGCAGGTTAACTAACCTATGCTTGGGAAAGCATCTATACAGTTCTTTGTTTAGTTTATAAAATCTTATATGAAACGTAAGCTTATGTAGGCTTAATATGGATAATTGTAAAGTAAATGCTCATTCAAGATGGAATTTCTGAAAAAGAAACAAAGGGATTAGAAGTTTAGTTGAGTTCTAAAAGAGAAAGGCCCATGGCTGCCTACGAGAAAATGCAAGTGATTAAGCAGAACATGTATGCGAGCTCATTTTTTTATTTTTAATTAATACGGATGAGTTTTTAGGTAATGAGTTGGGAAAGCTCATACATTTCCTGTTACTATTATATGCCTAGCTCTATTTCCAAGTGTTGTGGTAGAGCAACTTACTTAAAAGAGGAACTATGAAACTATTCCTGATCTACTGGTGTCATCATGTACTTTGTGAAGAAAAAAACAACTCTGATGTTAACTAGATCATTTGTTTAGCAGAGGAGCACGCTGACATCTCCTTCTTGAACCTAGTTCTAAACCTTTCGCTAGGGCACTTCTGAAAAATGTATTTTGCACAGTTTTGATCTATCATATTATTTTCTACCCATGACAGTATCTTTAGAGAACAGCCTTTTCTGTAGACTTTCTCAAGCATCTCACTAAGGTACAGGATTTGGCTGGTAGTGCTTAAATACCTATTTGTCCCTTTGTCTTAAAGGAAAGGACAAGGAAGACCTCCAAAAGACTCCAGGTGGAAATAAATAATAAAGGTATTGGGAGGAAGTGAGTTAGGAAAAGGTATGCTTTTGTGGGAGATTATCAGGAATACTTACCACAGTTTTGAAGCCCTAAAAACCTGATTAGCTTCTACATTAACCTAAAGATTCATTGCTTATCTGAAACACGTATGTTTTAAAGAGTGATATATATGGGCATTGTATTCTGTAAAATACAAGAATGGCGCTATGTAATAAATATCCTTACTGTTTGTGTGTTTCAGTCGCTAACATTTCAAATGTTAAATAAAGCTAGCACTAAGGTAAAGAAAATAAAAGCTCTTTGGAGAGAAAGGGATGCATGCCTTTCAGAGCTGAACGTGACATTTCCATGAGCTTAGTGTGGGAATTTTTTTTAATAGGGAGGGCAGTTCTGTTTACTACATCTGTCACCTTAGAGAAAATTCGTTGATGGTGGCAATGTAAGAACTTTCACTGACTGTTTGTGTAAATGAGTAATGCTGGATTTAGAGAAAAAAATATTTGCTGGTCAAGACACTTTCTCTGTTTTTTCTATTACTTTCATAAAGGCACATAGAAGTGATTAATTTGTTACGAGAAACAGGAGCGCACCTTTCAAGCCATGACTTGGAGAACATTGGAACAGTTCTCTGCAGGTAAGTGGGATAGAAGGTGAAGTGGTTTTAAAACTGGGATGGAGGAGAATGGTTTTAGAAGAGACTCTCAGAATGGAAAACAACTTCCAGGAAGCAGCTGGGTCACTGGCACGTTTACATGGCTGTTTCTGTGCTGTACTAATAATGAGGAAACAAGTGAAGTAATGAATTTAGGATCAAGTCTGTATTAGAACACCAGCAACTCAAGAGAGCTCCAAAGTAAGGGTGTATTGTGAGGATAAGTGGGACTGGAAGCAGATGTTGGACATTTCCTCGAAGCACTTTCGCTGAGGAGGGATGAGGAGGAGGCCATGCAAGGTGTGATTTAATAACATCTCTGTGAGAATAAAACTGCACATAGTGCATAATTTTTGTTTTCTTAAAAGGCACTTTTCACTTATATGGTAATGGTTTCCACTCTAGCATATAATGTGGTTCTTAAAAATAACTAAATCAAATAGACTGATAGGTTTAACCCCAAAACTTTTGAACAGCTGCGCACTGTCTCTGTATTTAATTTTAATATGATATAATCTGCTATTAAAGCTGTTTTTCCATACAGCTGCTTTTAATATATAAAGTGGTTTAATGATATGCATAAATATTATGAAAAGAAATGGATTCTTGGTTTTATTTTTTCCAATACTTGTTGCAAATTACTCTGAAAATTTTATGAAGGTTTCATGCATTTCCTAAGATTATTCATATTTTTTACTTTGTTTCTTCTCTTCCTGTTCTCAAAAACAAACAAAAAACCTCAGAGTACAGGCCTTTGTGTTAGGAAACCATAAGACTTGTAGGGACCAGCCAGTATTGGATACTGTCTACAAAACAAGGTCAAAGTAAAGTTTATGTGTGTTCTGTGTAGAGACTGGACTCTGAGTAGTTCTGGAATCAAATACTGGTTGGAGTGTTCCTGTTGTTGTAACATACTCAGAGAGGACTGCATAATAAGGCTTTTACCACAAAGTTAAAACATGCGCTTCCCAGGGCTCTGCAAGTGATAGGACAGAACTGAACCCTTGGTTTTCGTAGTTTCCATCTGCCAAGAAGGCAGGAGGAGTGGCTTAGAGAGTGACATTCCTCTGCAGGTAAATTGGCCCCTTGGTACCACATGCAGAACCAGTTTTGTTAGCTGATCTGGGAGCAGTGCATCCAAAAAAAAGAAGATAACGAGGATCCTTTAAACAAAAAGTGGTTCTGATGCGTTATGTTGCAGCATTTTAAGGAGGATTTTAGATCCTGCATCTGTATCGCACACTCCTGTTGTTCAAACCTGGTATTTTGCTAATAAACTTTTAAGATATTTTGAACTTGCACTGATGGTAGTAAGCTTAGTATAAAAACAGTGTAAATCTTCCAAACAGAGTGTGGGAGTGCACGTGTGTGCGGAGGCTGGGTGAGGACTCGGAGAGGCGTGTTATACTCAGGGTGAGAGGGGAACAGGCCACCTTGGTGTGAGTCAGGAGCTGGGGCTGTAGCTCTCTCCTGGGTGGCACCTGGAGCAGGGGCCGTGGCCAGAGGTTTGCTCATGGACAGATGTCACTGCGTGGCCTCTACCAAGAGCAGAGGCAGCCTGAGGCAGCGGTCAGGCTTCAGGACAGCATTGAAGTGTCTGTGAATGGTGGTTCTTCCCCTCGCTGCTCCTGCAGAGCTGAAGGATTTTCTTTCCTTTGGCTGTTTTAGAGGGCTTTTTCCACAGAGTGTTATTCAGATGCCTAAAAGTTATTAAAACGGAGGTACTGGTGTTTGTCCTCCTGCATAAATGTCTCAGATGCTTCTTCTAGAGTATCCTCAGATGGCCTGACTGATGCACTTATTTTTCCAGCACGCTCAGGCTTACTTCTCTGTCCTACCTATTATCTCTTCCTTTTAAGCCTTCTCTTTGCAGGCACTAGCACCTTCATGGCAGTCAGTGTGTTCACATGGGCAAGCTGCTTACAGAACAATCTGTTTATAACGTCTTCTCTTTGTCTAATTTTGAACCCTTTTCCTACATGCCTTCTGTCTTGTAGTATGACTTAACTGCAATTTGTACCACTCTGAATTTGTCACCGAGGTAATATGTGAACTTCTTGGGGTTTAGAAGGATGAAGCTGCTTGCTTTCTGATAAGCTCTGAGTTCCTGCACTTGGCTAACTTTGTGGTTTTTTCCCCATACAGTTCTCTCTGAATTAGAAGCTATAATCAGGTTTCCCTCCTTCCTACTTACCTATCCTCCAACAAAATTGGCTTTTGTGAAAGACCACAAGTAGGGATTTTTGTGTTTTAACAGTCTCCTCAGCTTCCTTCTGTTTAGACCAATGATTATAGAATAGAATTAGAATAGAATAGAAAGAATAGTTCAGTTGGAAGATTTTGGAGATAAAATGTACTGGTTTGGCATTGCTGATGTTTGAGAGGGAAAGGGGTACCAACTAGAACTGAGAACTGAACAGTATTAGCAGGAACTCTTGAGTAGGAAGTGCAGATGCACAGAGGTGCAGCCAAGATGATCTAGATACTAAATCCTTCATGGTGTCATTTGATGGATTGTTTTAGGATGTGAGAGGTGTTAGTCTGCTGTTTGAAATCACTTGGTTGATATTGGTATCTGTTTCATGGCTCTGATTTGAAATGAGAAAGAGATCTCCATAATCTGTTAAAAAATGCTAGAATCTCTTCTCATATTGCAATAGTATTGTCATCCGTCTGCAAAACCAAACCATGGCAAGATAAACTGGGACACTAAGACTTACTCTGAAGGTTTGTAGAGTTCTGGAGTTGGTAAACAATTGCTTTGTGTTTGTTTTTTGAAGGAAAAAGGCCTGCATAGAATAGTCTCTGTTCAAATTTGTACTTCACAAAATTAAACAGAGGCATAAAGCCAAGCCAGCTTTCTCTTTCATATTCTTAGATTTCATAAAATGATATGATATAATATACAAGGATGCAGCCTTTCAAAATCAGCAACTTTCAGAATAAGATACCCCTTCAATTTAACGTAAACTTGTGGGGGGTAAGGCTAGGGGAGGAAGGACAAATACACCTCTGAAAGAATTAGGACCAAGATTCTAATGCCTGCTGTCCTTCAAAGAGGTCTGTTTGGCTCGACTGATAGAGACATGGAAGTAGTAGCTAAGAGCTGCACTCTCAGGTGTGTTCAGGATAGAGCAATCCATGCCTTGTGCTGGACTTTTAATTTGCTTTTTGAGGATTCTCATTTAAAGAATAGAAGGAAGACAAAATACTTTCTCTTCTGTCAGGATCTTTTCTCAGCACTTTATATAGACACTGAAAAAGGAGAATTGCTGAATAAACAGAGCATAGCGTCCCTGGGAAAGATAAAATCCTAGTACTTAGGGAGGCAGGAGGGAACCCCAAGGTGTTGTTTCACTGTACTCATTACTTCCCAGATGTAGAATTGCATTGGCTCCTGTCCTTCTAAACCTTCTGAGACCCCAACAGCTTTGCTCCTTGTACCTTGGCAGTAACAGCACACCCCTTAAACAGAAGCTTCTGTAACTGAGTTTGCTTGGTGCTAGTGTGACAGGAGGCCCAAAATCAGAGATAGTAATTGCATTATCACTATTCTTAATATCTTAACTCCATCATTATCATGGCTACATTATCCATGCTGAAGCTGTGAAATGGGTACATAATAATTTTTCCTGAGTTCAAGAGTATTGATAGGCAGCATACCTAGGACTATCTGATGTAAAAGGTATCAGTCGGAATTTAATGAAACATGTCAAGTAGTTCTTTGTCAAAAATAAACAGCTTTTAAACATCCTGATAAGAGTATATTGAAGTTATTTTTCTTCCATTGCATGATATAAAAATTATAGGCTTGTTTGCTTTCAGGATGCATTTGTAGTTAGAATTGCTTACATAAATATCTTTGAGAAAAATACAGAGCAAAAAATGGTGTATGTTGAGAAGTCTTATGTATATATTTGACAACACGAAGTACACTTACAGCACGTAAGGGAAATACAGATGCGTATGGCTTGACTACAGAGATCTGGAACTGGAGAAAATGTTTTGTGGTGTTCTTGATTATAATCAATTTAGTGAATAGTAGGTATCTTCTATGTAGAGTGGTATCTAAATTTTCTCGCAAGCTATGTCACTTTTTGTTCTCTGGATCACAGACCCCATAGAATATATTCTCACTTGATCAGTAAATGGCTGGCACAGAGTTAAAGATACTTCTGTATAGTTGGATTGCTCTGGTGTCACGGAAGGAGACCACTTCACAGTGTTGACCTCTGGCTATGTGGGTTAAATTGTTTTTTTTTGAACAGATGCTATTAGGCAGTTAATTTTCAAGTAAGTGCAGTAGACCATGTTTGTTGCTTACGGTGGTGCTAGCTGAATTGCCCTGCGTATGCTGGCTGGTAATATTTCTAAATGTGCTGTTCTTTGCCCAAAGTGGTTTCCACTTTGCATGTGGCCGAATGATGAAATTCTGTTGGGCAAATACATTTGCTTTCCTGTTCAGTGTTGGAGACGCTTGTAACTCTTTCTTACTAGGTAGGCTTTGTGTGTGTTTGTTTGTTTGTTTGTTTATTCCTTAATTCTAGGACCTTTAGGTGTCAATGGCAAGAGATTTGTCTTTGTAAGTAAAGATAATTCTTGTGTTCCAGAAGCGGCTGCTATGCAGTTTCTTCTCTGCTTTACTAATGCTTACACTTTTTCTTTATTAATGCTTACATTTTCCTGCAGTTTCCTGGCCTCCTTTGCCTTCCTCTGTTTTCTTATTGCTTCTGAGGGTTCCCTTTTTTGTGATGGCATTTTTTGTTAATGATTCGTTGACCCTTTTCTTCATGATGCCAGACGGAAGCACTGTTCAACCTCATAGCACCCCACTGCCGTGTCCCTGTCCCCCAAAGGCCCCAGCTGTAGGTCTTCTGCCCTGCCTTGGGGTTGGTGGGGTTGCATGGAGGAACACAAAGGCAGAGAGACCACTTGCTTTCCCTTTTTGTGCCCAGCTTCTGGGACTGCTGCAAGCAAAAATCTCTCTCCTCAGAGTGCTGCAATTAGAGGCTTCCACTCCCCTGCAAACATTTTTTCAGGTACTTAAGAGATTTAATTAACAACAGAAGTGATTTCAGCCTAGCAGAGGCTGCAGAATGGTGCAGCCTTGCTTTCACGGTTTCTTCCATAAGCTTACCTGACTGCCTGCCCCTTGCATCTTCCAGCCTTCTCCACTTTCCACCTGGTCTCCCTGGCTTGGTTGTCATACCCAGGAGCTCGTCACCATCCTCCATCGCTGCTACCAGCAGTGTGCCTTTCCCCCACACCAAGCACCATTTAAGGCAGCAACCTCTGAACTCACTAGTTTGGGGAGGGTTCCCCCTCCCTTAATGAGATTCAGCCTCACTTGATGATTATCAGCGTGGTTCTGCTGAAACAATCTGCGAGCAAATGGCAAGCTCAGGTCTGAAGCCTGACAGATGTTGGTATCTTGAGAAAGCTGGAGGTGGTCCTCCCAGCCTTGCTGTCAGTTCAGCCTGTCTACAAGCTTGGAGCAGACGGTCATGCTTTTGCGTGTGTACAGGCTGTTAGCCCTTCTTTTACCAAAAGAAAAATTATCCTTAAGTATTATGGATGAGACTACCAGCAGATGTGTGAAGAAACAATCTGGTCTATATTCCTCTGAAAACTTTAACTCTCTTATTTGTATATGATTCATTTTGATCCTTTCTACTGCTTGTAGATAGAGATCATCTTTAAAAAGTGCTTTTTTTTTTTTATTGCTTGCTTCTCATTTGAATCTTACAAATTATCTTATAAAACTCAAAAAAGTAGCTATGTTACTGTCCAAATGATATCACATAAATATGCTTTTAAAACTTTTGATAGCAAACACAGTTATGCAAACTTGTGCAGGGGGTTTCTTAATGGTTTTAAATGAGGCATGTTGATTGCTAATGCATCCGCTTGTGTTCTCACTTACTCAGCTGCATCTTGACTTAGCCATTGCCCTCCCCCCAACTCATTTCACGAGATAAATATTGTGTTGTGAAATATGAAACTGCATGACTTTTTTTTCCCCTTTGGTCATAGTCACACCCACTATGTGAAACTAGCCTGTTGTAAGTACTTATAGCACAGCCCTATTAATTTAAGGAACTGATTCATCAAGCTGTGTTGCTTGCTCAGCTATTCAAAGCTGTTGTAATAGTGTTCCTTTACTTACCTCTGTACCCTGGCAGCCATGTTGAGCCTGTTCTGGTTCCTCGCTTGCCTGCAGAGCCAATTGACAGGACCCAGGACCACACTGAAATGGACTGAAAGATTTAGAACCAATATTAATTACTCTTTTTCCAGCCTTACAGCTAAAGGCGATGTGGATGGGCTGTATGCCTGGTACCTAGCTGGTGCGGACCTGAAGCAAACTGGTTATGATGGCAGGAATCCCCTCCAAGTAGTAAGTGTGCACACAGCTGTACCCATATGGCGAGCTGGCTGTGGGAGTAATCACATATGCTGTCAGATAATATTAGTTTGGGAAAAGTAAATGCTGCTTTGGGGACTATAAACCGCATTAGAGTTTGTTACAAACTCAAGTCTGGTGGTGCTCTGAAGTAATAAATTACTGGAGCCAGAATTTTCTCATCTATGTCAGAGGAATTAAAATTTAAATTGGATTTTAATTATTTTGTGGTAGCATATTCTTACTTCCCACAAAGTAAGTATTTGCATGTCCTGGTGCATAGGATGGCAGGATTTATTCGTGTTTCTACTTACAGGCCGAGGCTACAGGGCATAAGGAGGTTCTTGACTTCTTTAGACAAAAGCAGTAAAGAAGGTAAGATCTAATTTTTAAAGGCTGGATTTCTGAAATATACAGAACAGCATATACACATACGAAGGGGGATTTTGTATTTAAGCGCTAGCTCACTCTAGGGCATCTGGGTCCCTGCCTTAGTTTCTGATATAACTCTGAGTACTTCAATCCTTCTTTGTAGAATGGATCTTAATGCGTATTCCTCCTTCTGCCTGAGCCTGGAAGTGCTTTTTTTTTATGGTCTGTTCCCACAGTGTGGTTCTGAACTTTTTTGGGAATGTAAAAGCTACCAAAATGAAACCACTGAGGGCAGCAATGGCTTGTTCCGTCAGTCCATTGGAATAAATTGCTCCTCCGTTTTGCCTGCATTAGAGAGGAAATGCCCTTTCTGGGGCACTTGGCCAGGCCTGGTTTTCATGGTGCCATGCCCAGGTTTTCAAGGTGCTGTGCCCACAGCAGAGCTGGGAGATGACCACAGCTATTCAGCTCCAGAGCCTCCCACTCAGGTGGTGCTGCGGTGGTACCTACCGCATGTCCACCTGTGCATTTCCTCCAGCTTTTAATGGAGCGCTGTGCACCAGCCCATCTCCTGGCACAACGTAGTCAACCATTGCAGGAAATGCGGGGCTGATTCTTCGTAGGCAGGAGTTAGCTGTACCACCCACACAGCCTGCCAAAGGTTCTCTTTCAGCAGAGAGCTCTGCCAAGGGCTTGCTCCCCCTCCATGCGCGGGACAGGGCACTGCCATGGCCTCTCTCTTACCCAGACCTCAGATGTGACTGCCTGGTTGTCTCCTACATGGACTCACAGCATGAATATCTTCTGCTGCAAACCTACAAGGTGTGTTTGCCTAACTGTGTGCGTGTGACGTGGGTGTGAGCCTCGTGCTCAAAGCATCAGATCTGACAAGTCCCTCCGTAGGAAACTTGTCTGGGCGTTCGACCTTCTTCGGTGCTGTGCTGTAACTGGAGACATTTAGAACACTTCAATTTCTCAGAACTCCTTCCTGATGCAATGTGTTGTTCATTTAGGTATCTCTTCTCCAATACACTGGCAAGTCTGATTCCAGTTTAAATATTGGGAGGAGATGATCTCCTTTTATTAAATAAAGTTACCAGAAAATATGGTTAAAGGGGTTTGCTGCATCCATGGCTACCTTGCTGCTTCTGCGTCCTATTTGATCAATGTGAATGAATGAATGCGTATATAGGTGCGGAACTGCAACTGGAACAATAGCATTTTGAATCACTGTGTACTGGTCTAAATGAACATAGGATAGAATCAGGCAGGTTTTGCTTCCCTGTAAAGTTTTTTTGGGGTTCTTTGGTGTTAGCTGATATAGAAAGATTAGATATAATCACAGCCTTGAGCTTTTAAATGGGAACTTTCCAGTGTCCAGGATGAAGACACTAAAAAAACCTTCAGAATACGAGTTATGTTGCAAAGGGATTCCTGTATGCAGTGAAAAAAGTTTACAAAAATCACTTTTCAAAGTAAGGAGTGAATGTGTTAAATCCTCAACTCCTTCATGGATCATCTCTTAATTCCTTTGGACTGAGCCACAAGTAGTGTAGGCAGCCTGAAGGAAGTCTTCAGCACTGCATGAGAACTTGCTTGGCAGGCTACAAAGTAATCTCTTCTTAGGAAGGGTTTTGCCGAGTTCTAAACATCCATTTTCTCTTTCTCCAGAGGCTGCAGAAGATGGTCACTCCTCATCAGAAATACCAGCTTTGAACATTAATGGTGTTAAGCAGTTATGGGAGGAAAAGAGGAAAGGAGCCATGGTAGCTGCACTTGGACTACACAGGAACGCCAGACCTTAGGAATGTTCTTTATTTAGGCTCACATTAAGTTCTCACTGATTTTCTAACAATGATTTGCTGCTTTATCTTTTAATTAATTTTTTTAAAAGGAATGTTTAGAAACAAGAGAGGCTGGAATCTGTTGCCCTTACTGTGGAAGTTCTGTTTTTAAGGAGGCATTTTGAATCTTTTTATGTTAAATCAATGAGGTCAGTATTGCAAGCATAGCAAGCGGAAATGCTGTGTGGTGAATTCATAGCAAGAAAAAACAGTGGGTTGTGCATTTCTGGGTTTCAGCTAATAAAATCTCTGTGGAACAATGTTGGTTTCACTTTGTTTTTTGCAATGGCTTGTATCACTTCAGTTGCAATTACAGCAATTGTGAGTGTCAGTGCAAACAATTGAATCAGTCATGGGCATCTGCCTGCAGTTGTGTTCTAATCTTCACCAATGTGTCACTATAAAACCTCACTTAAAATGAGTAGGAGGCAGATGCCATAAAGCATGTTTGTGGGACTGTCTTAAGTGAATTGATTGTTTTGTTTCTAACAGCATCTTTCCCACATCCTGACCGGAATATAATCAAGATTGCTACATGCTGGACACATAATTCTTTGGACTGTAAATGTGATCTCAGTATTAACAGACCCCAGGTTTAAAGTCTCAGCATTCTCAGATGCAGAAGAAAGCAATATATATCTTTATAGCTGTATCTGCCCTAGAATATGTAAACATAGAGAATACTTCAGGCAAATGCATATATTGGAGACGGCAACTTCTAATTTCACCTACAGCTTCTGCAGTAATCTGTGTGGATTTTCTATCTGCTTCATCTGAAGGGAATCTTTGAAGTGCAGATAGTTTTTTCTTTTTCTTCTTTATACTATTCAGCCTTCCCACAGCTATCCTTATCATAGAGAAGAGCTGCACAGACTACTTGCTGAGCCTGCTAGTATTAAAAGATTCCCAAGGTATGTTGCGTATGAGATACCCCTAAAACAAGGTAACTATGCATGTAGTCTGAAGAAATGCTCTATATGCTCCTGTTAAAAACAAACCAAAACCATAAATATATCTGATTTTTTAATGTGAAGAGTAGTGCATCTCTTCACTACGGTCACAAAAATTACAATTGTGCTATCTCATTAAATAATTCATGTAGCATAGCAATGAACATGTTTTAGATTGAACAAAACTAATATGGAGTTAAATAAATGAGGTCTAACATCAAAAATCAGGCTTCAAATTAATAATCTTTTTGGTGTCTTATCTGTAAATACATAAAGATGATGTATGTTACAAAATAATGGTTGTGAAAATTTTTACACTCTGGAGAAAAACCATGCACACACTTTTCTTCCTATGGTATCTAGACCTACTATCTCAACTCTTGCCTGGTCAGAAGTCTGAAAGTTGACACACTGAACTAGGAATTCTGTTGATAAGCTTCTTTGCAAGTGACTTTATGGGCTTGAAATATTTTTTTTTTTTTAAAATGATTCTCAGGTGCAATAATTTGTCCATAGCAGCGTCCATTCTTTATCCTGTACCAGAATGACTGACTGTAACATATATAGAAGCATCAATATTTTTCTTATAGTTGTCTATAAAGGCTCATCTGATCTACAGAAACCTTTCGAACCAATAACATTCTTATATTTCTAAAATACAGCATCCATCTAAACTACAAAGCATACTTTCTTTTTCTTCTGAACAAAGGAATGGTATTCTGGTGTGAATTACTGAAATAATAGGTCTTAACAGTAAAACTGAAGGAGAGGGAAGAAAACAGAAC